TTCTATTAGGGATGCGGCTTCTAATACAGATTTTACGGTATTTCATAATCAGATCAAAGATGGCCGAATAACGGCTGTTTTTATATTTGGCCATATTACTACTACACGGAACACGTGTTTTGATGTAAATAAACAATCTGTTGTATACGCAACTTGGAACTCAAGTTTCAAGGACAAACTTGAGTTAGCTTTAATACGACGGCACAAAGAGAACTTTCAAAAATTTAACAGGGACTGTGTCATTTTCAATGACTTGTTTTTTGTGTGTTTGTATTTTACTGTTAAGGCATAAATTTTTGCTGGTAATCACTACTTTGTTAATTTTAGTGTATGAAAATGTAAATTACGGCACGCTAAACTAATGGCTTCACGGTGACAGATGTATAATAATACATTTCATTTCACCTATTTGCTAGTTCTACTTACATACTTCTTCCCATGGATTTAATTTATCTGCATGAATAATTTCAATATTTTGATGATTTGAGCCATTTCATGGAGTACTAGTATTAAGTTCATTAACTTGGCAGGGAAACGATGAGTTCTATAGTTATTCTACATGTTAATGGGGATTTAGTTTAGTGAATTTTATTCATCAACAAAACAAAAATAGTGGAATTAAAAACCAGTGAATAACTAAAGCATTTACAGTAACTTGAATCAGTGAAAATACGTTGAATGTAAGGTTGAATATGACCACTAGAGGGCAGTATGATTTGCTTACAGGATGTACAGATACAGGTGGTAGCATGGATAAATGGATATCAAGATTAGATTCCTGTAATTGGTTAAACCATGTGAAGGATGTGTTAACTACGGCTTGTTTAGCTGCTCAGTGTATTGACAGGGAAGGTAAGGACTAAAGAAATCATCATTATAAACGTTTACAGCACTGATTATACTAAAAAATTTCTTTTTTTATCTAACATGTTATTTTAACTAAATTAGCTAATACATAATTTCTCTTATTCAAGATGTTGTCTGATTCTCACAATGATATTGTTGACACTTTAGCTAAATCAAGATTCATTTTCTTTTTTTTGTGTGTTTTCGAAAAAGTCAGTGAAAATTAAAAAAAAATTGTAGCAGTAAAAATGTTCATGGAATCTTATAACATTTTGTTTTCCATAATAACCATGAAATTGTAAAAATTCCTTGAAGCAAAAATTGTACTGGGGTCCTGAATTTGCACAAATTTTTGTTTTCACAATGTAAAAGTAAAAAAAAAAAAACAATATACAGTATGCTTCCAAAGTACTGGCTTTTAAAAGATTTACTCAAAATCATAAATACCAGGGGTATATATATTAAGTATTATATTATAGCATTATGGGTTGGCAGGGTGGGTCATTCATTATTGTTTAAATATTGGTGCTGTCAATAATATTGCACATTACATTATTTCTACATATCTATTACAAAAAACTTTAATCATTGAGTGATTCATTAAGTTTTTGATTGAATGAAATGCAATATTATTGCTTTATTCCGTTTATATTATATCTACTTCATAATTTTATGTTTGGTAATTTCAGGTGCTTCTGTGTTAGTACATGGTTCTGAAGGCATAGATTGTACATTACAAGTTACATCTATTGCACAGATTATATTAGACCCTGACTGTAGAACTGTTAGAGGGTAAGTACACATGATCACATCGACTGCTACAAAAATGTTACTCCCTTCATTATTGTTTGAAAACCTTCATCATCATTAACTTTTTCACCACTTAACTTTCTCGCCTAAATTATTCTGCACTTTTTTCTAATATTCTTCAATATTTCTGGAAATAAACCATTATTTCGAAGCCAACAGACAAAATTTGAGTGACATAGATTTAATTTATCAGAAAAAATAGCGAAATTAAAACCCAGTGAATAATTAATGCATTTACAGTACCAAGCACAATTTTAGATTGTCAAGATAAAATAGCTAGTCAGCTTTTTTGCATAAGTCAAACACCTTTCATACTGATTTCAGTTTATGGATCATTTTACTACAAATGTTTCAAAACAGAAAGTACAATTTTAAAATAAAGTGTCATCAATACAAACAATATGGTATTTAGAGCTACCAAAACAAGACTAGATTGAAGTCCCATGGTCGTTATGCAGTCTGCAGTCATGCACATTTATATTTATAGAGTGGGACCAATATTAGACATAATTTTTTTCTATTCTCAGGAGAAAACATTCGGGCATTTTCACTGCCGAGAAACTATAATCAGTGAAAACAACAACTCTCAAAAAACTATACTTTAGGCTAGCTGATGAGGCTCTCCTGAACAGTGTAACAAAATTACCCGTACATGTACAACATATATAAATTTGGTTGGTCAGGATTGTCTCATAGTTGAGTTTATGCTGTTTTCTTGACTTCAGCTGTTTTCACAAGCTTCCTAACCAGTGTTCCACAGCAGCTTGTGCAGAGCACATACAAATACATGGTACAGTGGTGCACACCTTAGCAAAATAGAGCATTCTGTGATGTACTTCCATCCTTAGAATACACAATACTGTAATATGTATACTTCCAACTGAGCCATATTTTCTTTTAAATAACATTGCAAACAGTTTGATTTCCTATATTATACATCTATATAACTCTATTGTGGTGTTCATGCCATTTTATGTAAAACTTTAATAATAATTTCTTGTGAATTATTCTGTTTCTGAAAGGTTTGAAGCGTTAGTCGAGAGAGAATGGTTACAAGCTGGCCACCCATTTGCTGATAGGTGTTCTAAGTCTGCTTTTAGTGTCAGCAAACCAAGATTTGAAGGACCTGTGTTTTTGTTGTTCTTGGACTGTGTGTGGCAGGTAATGTGAAATATTTTGTATATTATCGGTTTAGAAAATAAGTGTTGTGCTAAAACGTGATACAGAATGAAAAAAAAAATGAATGAAGTGCCTCTGAGTATTATGAGGTAATTACAAGGATACCTCAAAGTATGCATGAAGACAATACAGCAAGATTATTGACCGACGCTCAGCAGAAGTCGATGCAACGGTGTACTGTCTTGAGTGCATACTTTGAGGTATCCTCATAATAATCTTATTTTTCCCATCTAAGGATACATCATGGGAATGTCGAAATCCAAAATGTTTAGAACAGAACTAGCAAACTTCTGTGTGTGTGATTTAGTCAAACCCTGGTGACGGACATGTTTTTATTACACTTACGTGCATAATCATTCCATATTTGGAATTCGCATTTCTTAATATGGTAGGATGAAAATACCCTGTAAAATACGGCAAAATTACGGCACGCTGTAACTTGGCATTACAATGACAGATGTATAATAAGGGTGAATATTGAACTATGTAAGAGTACCATATTAGTAGCACATGTGCTTACATTTATGTACATTACAGAGGTATTTCTATGTTCAAAATAAGTAATATTTAATGATTTACTGTACATTTGAGATTTTTGTTTTATTAGGGCTTTTATTGGAGATTCACTTCTAATAAAGCAAATTTGGTAGTGGTTCTTTTTGTGATGCATATGATTTTATTGTACCAAAACATTTGTTTATGTTAGAGAAAGAATTATGAAAATTAACCTACCATGACCTATATTGGCAGAAAACAAATTGATCAGTGTTTTATGAATTTCAAATTGTTTTCATCCAAAACCATTTGTCTTACAAAGATTTTTGTACCAAATGTGCAAAACTTAATTAATTGATCACAATGTTTAAAAGTTTCTTGATTAAACTATTTGAAGTATGTGTGAGCCACTGCTTTCTTGACCTTGAGAGACATAATACTGTTGCTTTCATATCAGTTTGTTACAAATGACCTCAAAATATACCTTAGAAGAAAATGGCCACCAGGATCTCGAAGAGAGTGAGAGAATCGTGTGATTTGCATTTTTTCCTCAAATGTTTCATTCTCTCTTGTCATAATGTTTACAGTTCTCCTGATCTATATATTTAGAACAGTGGTTGATAACGAGAGTGAATGGAAGAGTATTTGAATAATTCCTGTGGCTCTCTCAACGAGATCTTGGTGGCCATTTTGTGTCCATGATCTAGTAGAAAATTACAAACATTCCTAGATACATACCGGGTATATTTAATAGCTCACAGAACTTCAAACAAATAAGTTTGAGATTGTTTTGGCTGGTTATTTATAGAAGGAGGTTTTATCTATGGAAAGAATATATTTGTTTATTTTCTCTTTCAGATTTACCAGCAATTTCCGTGTTCATTTGAATTTAATGAACAATTCTTGATATATTTGTTTGACCATTCGTATGCATCACAATTTGGTGAGTATTACAGTAATTTATATAATTTATATTTATTTAAAAAGTTGTGTTCAAACCCATAATTAGGTACCCAATCTAAAGCTTATGTACTGTAAAATACTTTATTTTAGCTGGAAATTAATTTTCGCTGAAAAGACTTTTCAGTTGTTTTGTATGTATGAAATTTACTTTCACTGATTTTTGGCAATTTGAATGTAAAATATAGGAAAAATAATATATTCGCTGGATTTTATTTTCACCGAATCACTCCTTCAGGAAAAATAGCAAAAAATTAATTCCAACTGAAAATAAAGTAGTTTACAGTACTCATAATGACAAAGCAGTGACAAATATCAACATCTAAAAATGGCTTATTGATGAATTTTCATGGATCGTGGTAGTTCCCGGAATAGTTAACAATTAACGAAGGACTGATGGCTACAATGTCTGATTTGTGTAGTGTACATTTCAAGGTAGATGGTGATTATCTCTTTATTAAACCATAACTACAGACAGAAAGATTTGTGCCATTAATAATCTTATGTTATTATTGTGTTTAGGTACTTTTCTGTGCAATAATGAGGCTGATAGAAAGAAAGTGAAATTATCTACAAAGACTGTCTCCCTCTGGTAAGTAATACTAATATG